GCGAACCAGGGCAAATTTCAGCCTTAAAGAATCTAGCCCCAATGAACCAAGATTGCAACACAGTAGCCAGGTATGTCCCGTTAAAAAATTGGAGACCGTCAAACACACCAAGGGGTGCCCCTTTAAAGAATTGGATACCCAAGTTGAAGTCAAGCATGAAATGTTCTGAATATTTTTAAGATTTTATGGATACATATCATGTACATTCATGTACATGTTAAAGAGATATGTGGATGTGTATGATGATATATGAATATATATATATGGTGCAGTTCCTAGAATCTTCCAAGGAAGGCCTCTTAAAGAATAGGAGACCGTCAAACAACAGGATTTCCTTAAAAAATAGAACTGTTTTTTTTTGCCGGCCAGGTATGTCCCTTAAAAAATACAGTTTTTTAAGGACATCATGTCCCGAGTTTTTTAAGGAAAATTCCCAGGAGGATTATATATATATAGCGCTAGCGGTGGGGTTCTTGAGGGTGATGATGGGTTACTTTCAGGTTGGGACTAATGCATCCGGAATGGCTCAACCTTGTCCGTGCCTTCCTATTCCCGGGATTCTTGGCACAGAGAACCAATTTACGTGACAATTTTCTTAGTGCAGAGGTCTCCAGAACGGTTCGGAACGGTTCTGCAGACCTCCAGAACGGTTCGGAACGGTTCTGCAGACCTCAACTTTGCACGGAGATATTTCTCCACAGCTTCCAAATCCCCCCGAAAAGCGGTCAAGAGCAGTTCCTCCTGTTTTGCATTTTCAAAACCTTCCAAAGAGCCGCCCTGTGGCTCCAAGGGCCAAGGCTACAAGAGAAAGGAGTCAGAACAAACGACAAAGGGAAGGCAACTTCTCCGCCTAAGTCTTTGAACAGGCAGTGCAAAGGCATGTTGAGCACAAGGGAAAAGATGAAACTGGATGTAGACTACAAAAGGCTGGAAGTTTCTCAGCTGTTTGTCCATGGAAGGCGTGGCCCCTTTCAAAATCTTACCTGTCTTGAAAACTGTTCTGTGGAATCATTTCTAACAAAATCATACAACTGTGTAGTTTGTATTGAAACATCCGTTTGAAAGTATCGCTTGTGTCGAATCATCATTGCTTATGGTACTAGTATGTGTTTATTTGTTCAAACTTTATGTATTAAAGTTAAATAATTACATAGTCAAAATATGCTATTATACAAGTTAACATATGCTGTTATATGGAGGTCTCCGGAACCGTTCCGAACCGTTCTGGGGTCTATAGGCTTTGAATCCGGAACCGTTCCGGAACCGTTCTAAATAGTTCTAAATAGTTCTGAGGTTTTGGAAGTATCCGGAACCGTTCCGAACCGTTCTGGGGAAATCCCCGGAACCGTTCCGAACCGTTCTGCAAACCCCAAATAATGGCTTATATATTAACTTACTTTTATACTTGTATAAAACTTGATAAAACCAAATATACACACTTGTAGCTTATAGCTACTTTGTAAAATACAACTCATAATCCGTAACTCTTGACTATCAAACTTCAATATATAAATCAATTTATAAGGTTTAGGAACTGTTTTAAAATTGAAACACGTTGTTATAACTGTTAATTTACAACTTAGAGCTTCTAGTTATGACTTGACACTAAAAACTGTGTAACTTATAGCTGTGTAACCCTTTAACTTTGAACTTAAAACTTATAACTAAAACTTAGAACCTTTAACTTGTAACAAAACTTTGACTTTACTTCTCGATTTGATTTCAACTGTTTAACTTTATAAGTATATGTTTGATGTTTGCTTTACTTTACGTGTTTTGTATTTATGATTTATATAAGACTGTTTGAGTTTTTAGATGAATTATATGCTCTTGTTTGTTCGTGTATGTTTGAAAGTTTGGAAGTATATCGACGGGGTTTGTTTGTATAAAACGCAACAATAAAGTTTAAGCGTTGTATTTGGATAAAATGACATATTTATAATGATTGTAATCTGTTACTGCAACACTGCTACGGACCAATGCACAACAACGTAGCGACAGAAATACAGTAACACATCTTTGATCTGCTACAAATACGTAGGATTCCGTTTGCAATTGATAAATTTGTTTCACCATGTTTTACCTAAGTTTTGCCGTGGTCTTCGCAGCACCGAAAACAATACTTAAAAACTGTGGATTTGCATTTGCAGTTCATCCATGCACATGAGCACACAGCCATACATACACTCATCAATGCACTAGTTAACCAATTTTACAGTATACAGGGTCACATCGTAATATTGGTTTTATGAGTTTTTTTTTCTAGTTGGAGCTTGCGCACATGCATTCTTTGGTGTTCTCCTTTTTGAAGAAATATGGGGCCCCGAATTACCCAGATGTTTTATATTGTTGTATACTGTTTTCCTTTCCAACTTACGGACCAATATTTTCAAATACGAAATTTGTATGTAACATCTAACTTGATGTTGAAAGGTTTTTTGTCCAAGAACTTGGAGCAATGCATTTTTCTTTCAAAGTGGTGGGTTTCTTCATTGGGTGACATTTTTAGTGGAAACACCCCTTATTTCCATGGATTGCTACATAGTTCTTTCCATAGTTCTTTCCCTGGACATATGAAATCAACAGGAATCCAAATTTAAGAGACTAAGGTTTGAAATAAGATATAGATATAGATACTGATGCATAGATACATATGTATGTATATAGATATATAGATTCCGTACATTATCATACATTATATACATTACACACAGTCCATCATATCAAACAAGATATATGTTTCCCAAAGCGGAATGCCGACACAATGGGTGGTTGATTTACTGGCGCCCTTGCCTTCGCGTGCTGTGCCAAGTTCACCGCTTTGATACAGCCAGCATGGCCCTGACATCAGGGACTGGCCAAAAATGGCTGCTAAACATGGAACAACTACCATTGGTGATTCACTATGTTAGTCCATATTTCTATCATATGATCCTAATGTACAAAGTCAACCTCATAAACAACTGTTGCTATAGTGTTCCTATTCTTATTCACCTGGCATATTCGGACCAGAATCACAAGCCACTCAGCGACTCAACATCCACCGACCCCAACATCTGATCCACCGCATGCTCTTTTTCATCGGGATCAGGGCGATACATCGCTGCGAAATCTTCCAAGCACACCTTTGCAGTTGCACGTGCTCGACCATCGCACCAGATCTTCTCAGAGGAACACATCCGTCGGTCGAACAGGCTCCAGCTTCCCGAGCTTCAGCACGTAACTGTCCTGCAACAGCACCGGCCCACTCCAAAACCCACAAGCAAAACAACACCAGCAACGCCAAAGGCACCACGCACAATCAACCAACAGCAGCAGCAGCAGCAGCAGCACCAACAACAACAACAACAACAACAACAAGAAGAAGACGACCACCAGCAAACCGTACAGCCCCAACGCACCAACATTCAGTCCTGGTATGCCCACGCCATGAGGGTGCCACTTGACACGTCATTGTCACGATTGTCCATGGCTTTGATGTGACTGTAGAATACTGTCACAACGTCCCCAACCTCGCGCGCCACGGAGCTTCGATTGCATCTGACTATTACCAACAAGCATACAGTTGCAGGATGTGAAGATGAAACATAGTTGACCAATGCCCCATCCGGGCTCTCACGTACACGTGCAAATCAAATTTTCGACCCCCCCCGCCTCGACTTGAAGGTCCTCTGCAATTTGAGACATGAATGTCACATGCAGCGAACGTCCATCCTCGTCCGTCAGAACACCACGACGCATAGCACTGTTGCTCTTGGGCCACGTCAACTCGCGAAGCTGCGTCAACTGAGCGCGAAGGTGAACTACACAAGGAGAGCCAGATGCACGCTTCTCCAGGACCTCGCTGAACTTCTCCACCACCATGCTGCTATGCGGAATGATCTTCACGTCCATGGTACTGCGTACCACAAAGGCAACATGCATAAACACAAACTGGCCCTAACTGTCTCCTTTGCTTCAACCATCAGTGAAATGATAATAGCCAATATCATCAACAATCCACACTCCTCATGCCTGCTTCCAAGATGTCCCCACACACAAGTGAACCACCACACCCACCCCGGTCCTCACAACCTGCAAGCTCGAATTGCCAGTGGCCGCGAGCTTAACTGCACCACCCGTACTCTGCTGCAGGTCCACAAGCAGCGCCTTGACCAGCACCTTGGGGAAAGACGACTCTTTGCTCTCATCCAGCGCACGACCTGCTTGTGTAGAAAGCAAAACCGCTGGCTGCTCCCACGTTGTAATGGACACAACTCCATCGGGATCGCCAATGACCAGTCCAACAACAGGCTTTCTGCCCTGGCTAGGACAGGCATGTAGACATGACCCCGCCCCACAAAATGCCTTGCTGAAACACCACCGACGCATATGAAGATATGGTTTTGCTTAATGTGCCACAAGATACTTGATCTTTTGGCACATTAAGCAAAACCATTTCCAAAACGTGCATACGTCACATTGATTACAAGACCAGGTAAAGATTTTGCTGTTGCAGGTTGCAAATGATGCCGCCATACAATCCCTCCCTGCCTTGGTTGTCTCCACGTAACGTAGATCGCTCATGTCCAGCAACGCACCTGTGAAGTTGATAAGAGTGTTGTGGCTCAAGTTCTGCAGCTCCCGGACCGAACCACACTCCGTCACCTCTCTCTGCGCTTTGCTACTGCGCGCACGCTTGTGAGGGCTGCCTTCCATTGCTGCTGCAAAAAAAGGGCACCAAACGTATCACACTTGATCCGAAATCCTGACCATACACAGATCCTGCATGCTCCAAGCTCTTGCACACTGCGTCCACTCACTGTAGCCAAGCGCAGCTGTTACAATTTCAGTTTGCTGCTACCATGCTGTTACTCAGTCACAATCAACGACCATCCACTTTGCTCTCGGACCACAGTCTGTCTCATTTAGCCCAAGCAAAGATACCACAGAAAAAAGTCTGTACAGCCAAAGTCGCTCTACAGCAGGAGAACTCTTAAAATCAGTGCCATGCCAACAGCTCACACCTCTTCCTCCTCCGCATTTGCTGGCTCATCCACCTTGTCCACGACGCTGCGTTGAGCATCTTGCAAACGTGCACTGGTGATCCGCATCCCTGCAACACACAGCTGCTTACTGCACATGGAATCTTTCCCGTGGAACCGACACTACTCCACCCTCAAAACTTGAAAATCAGCCAAAGCTTGCTCAAGGTGTCGAACACAATCTGAGACCAGCTATCACTGCTACGGTCTAAAGCTGCCGAGGCGCCAATGGCCAACGATTCACCCAACAAGCCAATGTTCCTTCTCAACTTGCAGCCGGCAAAAGAGCTGCCAAGGCAATGGCAGCCTCTGCCCCCTTCTTCGTCACTGCCACGTCCTCCAGGATGCGTTTTCGAGCCTCAAATTCTGCAACTGGCAAAGCCAATTCAAATGTCCACAATCAATGAATCCATCATCCCTGGACAATCCAAACACCACACAAAACACAACACAGAGATCACCAACTCATTCCAGGGCACCGTTTGCTCTTGTTCACGATCATCATCATGCACAGGCTTGACCATCGCATGAGCACCCAACTTCGTCTTAAACGAATCGACGTCAGGCTGCAAGCCTCTGCACGACACCCTTGCGCGCCAACCGCCCGCAAAGTTGATCGCTTTCATCACCCGAACGCCAGGCCTCAATCAGACACAAGTTTCCGGCGTGATCAAAACAACCCAGCTCCCCCGAACACAACTTTGCTCTCAAAGACTCCCACACCAATAGAACCAACTATCCAGCAATTGAACCTATCCACCCTCTGAACTCGCTGCCCAGCAACCAAGCAAAATCTGACACTAATCACCAAGCTTTGAAACGCCCAATCAATAGGCATTGAACAAACATGACACCAGAATCAACACTGCACCACACCTGTCCTTCCCCTATGTCACTCAAAGGCCCCAATATCAACCGAGCCAGGTACAGCACAGTTCAACCTATCATTACCTACGCACCATCTACCAATGCTGTTGCTCACGAAGCTCGCCAGTCCAATAAAACCACCTATCCAGCAATTGACCCTAGCCCCCCTCTAACACCCTGCCCAGCTACCAAGCACAATCCAACATTAATCACCAAGCTTCGAAACGCCCAAGCAATACCCATTGAACAAACATGAACAACACCAGAATCAACACTCCACCGCAGCCAGTCCTTTCCCTATATATCACTCAAAAGGCTTGCAAATCAACAGTGCCAAATGCGGCACAGTTGAAACTATGAATACCTTCGCCATCGACAAACCTCCCAACAACTCACCCGACCCCCACGGCAAGCACATATCCAAGAAACGGAGCAGCAACCTCCACGAACATCTTCACATCATCCCGGGTGCTGAAGTTCTTCTTCTCCTTCCAGGCGATGACCCACTCCGCCACCACCTGCACAGCTATCCATCAGACATGCACCCTTCACAAAGCAATGACCTTCACGCAGAACACCCCTTACCAAACTAATCCCCGATCCGAAACCCATAAACAAAACCTCACAACGAACCTCCTTGATCTCCTTTGCATCCTTCGTCTCCTCCTTCTCCCCGCCACTACCCATCTCCGCATCCTTGCTATCACGCTCATCCTTGTCATCATCCACAACCTGCCCAAGTTCAGGAGTGACGCAATCAACTCCTTGTGCTTTGAATCAAATACTCCACCCACGTTTCAAACCAGTCCTGCCTCCAGGCCAGCTTTCGACAGTAAGCTGCGAACCAATGCCTCCTCATCGTCACCGAAAGAAACCGTCCACACATTGTCGTCCGCCTTGAACACCACCGTGTGATTGAATACCTGCCAGAAAAACCACAAAAGAACAACTCCCACCCTTCCAATCTCAACTCTAAACACTCCCAACCAGCGCCTTCTGGAAGTGCTGGGACACAGTTTGACAGTCCGCCGCCAACCACACCCGCTGCAGCTCTGCAGATACGCTCTGACCCAGCCGTACCGAAAGAACACGAGTGGCCATGCTTGACACAAGAATGAAATGGGCAAGAGCAAAAGAGATGACAGGCACTGCTCGAGCCAAGGCTGCGACAGCTCCTGCATCAGAAAATGGTTACCGCTGAACGATGTAGTATGGTATAGTCTAGACCCGCCAGCTGTCTCATTTCGCGGGGATTTGCTCACTCCAGATGCGTTAGCTGGCCAAATTGACCAAACACTCTGCAAGGTGATGAAAGGTTCAATCCCAGCGCTATACATGCTTCAATCCATGTGTCATGATCTTGTGGAATCAAACAACTTAGTAGAATATTTCCAGTAGCGCGTGCCAATTGAAATAAGGCCTTTCAATTAAGGACAATCCACGCCATCCATACGAACGAAAAACGCATCATGTAGCTGGGCATGCACGTGTAGGAGGCATGTGCTAGAATATATCTGCAAAAGGTTGGGTTGGTCTGCTCTTGCCTTCCGGTACCGGCTGGAGAGAGTATCCACCATGCTTTGAAGCTTGCTGAGACCTTCCAAGGTGTCTCAGTCAATCTCAATCGCTAAGTGCAGTAAATGCAGTACCAATGGCGTTCGCCCAAGATTATAGATCTGATTTTGTCATACTACTGTAGATCTGATAATGAGAGTACAAGCAGTTACAGCCACTTCTCCGAGCAACACCCTCTCCAAGGCCTTCTTGCTGCGAAGCTTCTTGCGCTTCCAAGCCGGCTTACATCGGGAGTCGCGGGTGCAGTGCCCCTGAATCCTTTGATTCGGACTTTAATTCTTGTACAATGAGTGCATTGATATGTGGAGATGAGACTCAAAGTGACAACACATGACAAAAAACACTTTACTTTTCAGAAAAGCGAGCATGATCTAACCACAAGGTACAGCCTTACCTCGTACCTCACTTTCAATCAGAAGCCGCCGGTCTCTCAGCTCATCGGCCCTAGCCTTCAAAACCCCCCTTTGGCCGCCCCCGGGACATTGTTTGAGCCACTGCGTCCCGGGGGTCGGCGGCACGGGGGCGTTAGCCCCACTTATAATGTATATATTATAATAATAATAATAATATATAATAATATATATAATAATATATATAATAATATATATTATAATATATATAATAATATATATAATAATATATATAATAATATATATAACAATATATATAATAATATATATAATAATATATATAATAATATATAATAATATATAATAATATATATAATAATATATAATAATATATATAATAATATATAATAATATGTATAATAATATATATAATAATATATAATAATATATATAATAATATATATAATAATATATATATTAATATATATATAATAATATATATATATTAATATATATATAATAATATATATATGATAATATATATAATAATATATATTATTTAAAAAATATTAATAATAAATGTAATATAATATATATATATATGTTACTAATATATATATATATATATGTTACTAATATATATAATAATAATAATAATAATGACATAATAATAATAACAATAAGTATATCCCCAAAAAACACCATAAATCCCCATAAATGAAGATTAAATCCCCATGTGAATCTTCCAACGCTTCCAAGCCCTCATGATTGAAGCCCCCATGCTTCGTCACGAGTGCCCACGTCGAGCCCCAAATCTCCTCTTGCGCCTTCTTCTGGTTGTACTCCAGTAGCAGGGCGTTGGCCTAGTTGGAGTATAATATAATGTACTGGAGGTTGTATCAGATTATGAATATATTAGATATATTGTGTATGTTATTTAAGTCCAATTATAAGTCCAGTTATAATTTAGGAACTGAAAGTAACATGGACTAAGCATGACTAACAGCCTATAACCCCCGTTTACCATCATAATGTCCCTATCTTCAATTGGAGATGACTTTTCTGCATCCTTTTGGGAGAATTTCCTCAGGTGTCGGCCTGGTGTTCCAAAGCAGACTGCTGCTGCTGCGCTGCTTGTTGGAGAAGCAACAGCTGCCTGGGGGCCATCAGCTATCGTTTGGGATTGATTTGATCACCCCGATGGCCAGATATGGCCAGCACTCCCAGATTTCACCATGTCCCCCCATCTCTGGGGTCGGTGCTCATTATGCTGCTGTGCCAACTCCATTTCCTGAGCAGTTTCTGGGCTGAACACTAATGGCTCGGACAGCTGGGGCTGGGGCTACTGGGCCCCTGGGCAATAACGACAAGAGGCGGATTCAAGGTTTTGTCCATGTCGTGTTGGAGTCCATGTTTTGTCGATTGTATTTCCACGTTCCCGAACGAACCCCTTCTAGGTGTTCTAGGTGTTCTATAGCATTTCCCTTTTTTTGTGGTGATTTGTCACCTATGGTTGGGTGGTTGGGACACCACTACTTCATGAGTCACTCGGAATGATCCATCTCTGCTCAGCACCAGAATTTCTTTATCCAAGCGGCTCTTTGTTTGATCTCTTGATCCACCTGTGCCGGTCGCCATGGCCCTCACAACCAACAATCATTGGGGATTCTGAAGTTAGGATCGTCGTCAATGGATGTGAGCGATCTGAGCACCCAACCTCGACCAAATGATCCAAATTCCAGCAAGAGGTTGGACTCACCATTGCAGAAACAGGGACTCCCAGAATTTCAAACCCCCATTCCATCCATTTTCCCATTTTCCATGGAAAGTTTTGAAGTATACCCCCCAACTTGGTTTCCATCTTATCCCCAACCTGCAGGGCAAATTGTCGCTTCCGCTGGTCGCCCATCTGGTCGATCGGCGGGTGATCTTCCAATCTTCGGATCAAACTTGATCAAACATCTCAAGAAAATGCCTTTCTGCACTTTCCCAATCAAAACAAATCCTAGGCCTAGCTAAATTTCAAATTGGGTCAAAAACTGAAGACCGATACTAAAAGTAGGACATCGCAGCCATGGATCAAAAGCCTGGTCTTCTCTTACAACGGAAAACCTGAAGGTTTCTGAATCTCAAAATGTTGGAAAATCCCCAGGTTTTGACACATCTCCCCATGTTTTTCAAAACTGTTGTGAAAACCATCATCCCATGGCACCACGTGGTGTCACCGATCCCCCGTCGGGGCACTGCAAAGACATAGTCCGATTGCTGTTTCAGCTGCTGAGCCAACACTTCGGTACCATGCCTGGCGCGAACTCACTGGGTGGTGTCCCAAGTGTGGCATCCGGATGAAGATTTGGCAAATAGAGAGAACATCATTGGCTGGATCGAATGATAATGATGCACTTCTTCGATCTGTTTAACATGTTTTAACTAGAAGGCTATTGGATTCGAAGGCAATTGGTGTCAAAACCATGAAACATATGAAACACCCACAGAAGTTGAAGCAGTTGAAGCAGTTGAAGCATACCTTGCCACTGCGCCAGCGCTGTCCCGCTGCGCCTCAACTGTTCCTCCAATCCACGGGCGTAGGCATTCTTCTGTCTCTCGATGGAAGTCGGATCTGGCAGACCTGGAATCGGGAAATCGTGCTGATTAACAACCACGTGTCACAACCACAAAATCTTTCATCAGATCTCGGTAACAACTTCAACACTCTTAAATTCTGCAGGAATCCACGTCGATTTTTACGAAAAATCTTTGGCTTTGCCCAAATCCACGTCGCCTGCTGTCAGACTTGGCGGCACTTGAGGTTCGGGGACTTGCTTCTCCTTGATCTGTCCAGAAACTGGGTGCAGAAACGTGACGCTTAAATACCCCCAACACAGTACTAGCAATGTAACATACATGACCGAAGAGTGAACAGGGATAAGATGGGATAAGTATCCCGGTTTGAATTTCTACTATGGGGTCGAGGACTCATTCTGTACTGAAGCATCAAAATTCCTAACCTCAGCCATTACAAAATGATGGTTCTCAACCACCAGAGGATTACGGAAAATGACAACATGATACTGCTACAAAATGAAGATTGGTTTTTATCATGAGGTTACTTGAAGGGAAAATTCCACCACTACAAAATGACGATTGGTTTTTATCATCAAGTTACTTGAAGGGGACACTCTGCCACTACAAAATGAAGATTGGTTTTTTAATGCTTTTCTCATCAGGTTACTTGAAGGGAAAGCTTCAATACTACAAAATGACGATTCACATCACTTGCTGCACATCACGCGCCTCATCTTTTTGCCCTGACCAATCAGCCCAGCTCCCTCAGGCCGTAATTCCCATCCAAGTCGCATAGACACACTATGCCTCGTTCTATCGAGTGCTTCATGGCAGCCAATCAAGCCATCAAAAAGTCAACATTTTGTCTACCCGTATCTACCATTATCTACCCGTATCTATCCATATCATTCCATATCTATGAAGTCAATAGGCTTGATCAGCGATCCATAGCGATCCTACTGATGTATCTAAAATACTATGATTTCATAATATGCATGCACGAATTAGGAAACGCATGAGCAAATTGCCCAGTGAAGCCCAGTGATCCAAAGGCATCTAAATCGTGGATGTTGCCATTCAAAGACTGGAATCAATGGGTGTTAAATCTACACAAAAACGATGTATATCCATGTGTATCCATGTATATCCATGTATATCCATGATTATCCATGTATATTCCATGACATCCGTTGAACAAATTCTGAAGCGCAATCTCCACTCACTGCTGAGCTGCAGCCAAATGTAAAATATCTCAGTTCAGTGCTGCAACAAAATCAGCCTAACAAAACTTAATTAGCTTTTTGGTTCCTCAGTATCCTCAGTCGTTTTCACAGCTTCCTGCGAAAGGACGTAGAGGCCAATTTCTTTGATCAGTTTCAGCATCGGGTTGCGCTTCGGATGACCGAGCATCAGGTTCACTTTCACGTCCAAAAGGTGCTTGAAGACCATCTTCCCAAAGCTCTTGTGTTTGCGAACGTGCTTATACCTGGAAACTTAGAGGCGAATTACAGGTGGCTGCAGCTCAAGAATGGTTTCCCAACGTCTTGCTCTACAAAATGGATACTCAAATGCACAAATACATCTACAAAATGAATTACAAAAAGGCAGAGCTACAAAATGATCAGGGGAAACCAAACACCATCATCTACCAAGCATGAGCCAGGCACATCTGTTCCAAGGCAGCTGGGGCATGTTTCAGTACCTCGGTCAATGTCACCTTCTCCGCACCTTCGAACTTCATGCGGCAGAACCCTTGGTCATTGAACAAAGGCACTGACCCGTATGCTGCTTTGTCAAGCCGAAGCAACTCCTCCAAGAAATGTCTGCAAGCTTGAGGACGTGAAGGATTCTTTCGAGCAAAGGCATCAGCCCCAGTGTCCAGGCTGACAGCAGGCTCAGATGTCTTGGCCTTCTTGTCTTTGGCACATGGTTTCGCAGCAGCCTTTGCCTTTCTCTTCTTGGGGTCTGGCTTCGGTGCAACTGGCAACTCATCAAGGGTCTTGTTGGACCCTCGGGTCATTGTGGGTCCAACCCTCCACTGCTTCATGCCCTGCACCCTGCTGAGCGCATCTGCTGAAGCATTGCTGAGGACGATCTTCATCTTTCCATCACCATGTTCTGGCTCTTGGCCTCCAGGTGAGATTTCATCTTAGGCATTGTTTGGTGGCAAAGGAGAAAACAAACATGTGAACAATGTTCGGAAACACTGAATGTAAGTGGATGCCATTGGGCCATTGGATAAAAATATGTAAAAATCCAATCCAAGAAACTAACTACAAAATGAGGTTCACACTGAGGAGGCTACAAAATGAACATATAGGTGTCACATGGTGCAGCCATGTGCAGCCTAGAAACATGTCTCGCAATCCAAAACACATACCAGCGACTCGAGTTTTACAACCCATGCTGGCGATGTAGCATTGCACCACCAGGAAGTGCTGTCATCCTGAAACACCAAAGAGATCCAAAGAGAATCAACGGGACAGTCTGAGCATTTCAGAGCGAGTCATTCTGACACGCTGCGATTGTGGCTTTCGGAACAGACTAGACTAGAAGAATACAAATTTTGTTTTGGTGATTTTGTAACCACACTGTCAGGAACACTCATTTTGTAGCATTTTCATGCGTTCCTCGTTCTCCATGGCCAGCTGCACTGCGCGAAATGCTACGCAACTGGCGACCTGGACATCTCCGCTATGGGGTCGTGGATTCTTTATTCCCCTCCACACCGTCAAAATCATGCCAAGCTCAAGTTGGGGTTGCGCTGAATCGCAAGGAAGAGAGAAAAGGATGATGTGCCCAGACCTGCAGCACGCTGGCAACATCAACATCTTGAATGAGTCACAAAATCGGTAAATATCCAGCCAACTGACGAGCTGTGGTGAGCTGATAGGATCAAAATTGTCCATCATAACTACATATAACATCATATAACATCATATATCATCAAATAACATCATATAACTATATACAACTCTCTAATTCTAGATCATCTGTCCTCAGGTGTCCAATTCCCTGGGCATAAAAACTAGGTCAAAGATGCAGTATGAATGCTACAAAATGACATACAACTTTGGTTTTACTACAAAATGACTTTTCAATTACGAATGGATTCAGCACATGTTTTGTCTCGTTAAGCCACCTGATCACGTCCGGCGACGCCATGGGTAGTTCGAGATCAGCAAGTGCCTTGTCTACAAGCTCACGCCACTTGTGGAGGCGGGACGTGCGAGAACGAAACTGAACTGTCTCTTTCTCGGCATTCATAATGGCGATGGCTCGTTCGTTCCACCTTATTCACCGGCATCATCATCAACAACCAGCTCAAAGGAACTAGATGTGCAATATGCTATGCCCATCAATGCCCCATGCATGTACAGATTCGGATTTCACCTATGGATATCTATGGATCCACAAAACCTATGGATCCAGTGGGCATTTTGGGGTCGGGACCACCATTTTGTAGGCGTTAAATGTGTTCCCAACCTCAGCATGTAGAAAATGATGGTTCTCAATTGCTGTTTTAAATCAGAAATATTCATAAATTGCCAAACTGTTGCAAACGGAATAAAAAATGAATCAGCTCAAATACCAAGACACTGATGCCAATTCAGAGTTCGAGCCGCTCTGCGACAGTTTCTTCCATTAGGAAGCCACCCAACATCCATGCCGCCTGAACTGCAGCGAAGGTGCACACTGAGGCGCCACAGAAGGTTCCAAAAGACGTGATCACTCTCACGCCTAGCGCGATCGAGGGCTTCCATCAAAGTGCACGGGTTTCTGGAAGAAAGAGATGAAACTCCCTTGTCCTGAGATGTCTCGTCCGCCTCAGTCTCATCAATGCCAGGCTTGAACAAATTTGACAAGTCCTCTGAGTCAGGCATCTGCTTCATGTGAACAGTCTCTGGGTCTTCCAGGTTGAGTTCATCCGCCGCAGTTTCCAAGCTGATGTCAGGGTCGATGAACTTTTTCTCGCGCTGGATGGAAGTGACCAACTCGAAGCATTGATCTTTTCCCTTACTGGCTTCCTCGTCAACCTGAGTCCCATCAGGCAACTCATCGTCCGCAAAGAGTGCATCAGTCAAACCTTGAAAACCTTCCTGCTGGCAAAGATTTGTGTACTCCTTTTCGAGGGCAGCTTCAGACATACTGCTGACTTTTGCAACCAGCTGAATTGCAGAGCACATGGCTTGCTTGCAACAAGCTTGGAACCTCAGATTAATTTGAAACCAAAACGCACCAAATCATGACGGTGACGTGCACTGAATACCAATACATTTTTCTACATATCACTATAAGTGTGTCACAAATTCGGAATCTGAAAGACTCATAAAAAAATCATAAATAACCATATCAATGCATATCACGAAAGAAGATTAACATAGACTGACATGAATTAACCCATTGCCCATCACCTCACTACAAAATGATGTTCACCTGTAGTTGCCCTACAAAATGATCTTGTGCTTATCCTCTTCAATCACCTGTCTTGATCAGCCCCAACCTCAATGACCAATAACAGCAAACATTTGGAAAACAAGGAGCTGCAGTTCAGTCAATGGGTGCTCTGCCCCGTTTGGTGGTGACTGCTTGGACAGGATCTTGTGCATGCGCAAGGTTTGACGCGCTGATGCCAAAAAGTAGCTTCGGCATGAAAGTTGTGAGTTCTGGGCTTGCTGGCGGAGGCAACCAAAGTGTTGCTCAATGGATAATTCCGAGAGACGTCCATGGCCGGTCCTAAATGGATCCCAGGTAGGATCTTTCGTCAAACAGATCAACGCTGCCGACAAAGCGGCAAGTTGCAATGTCGAGCTTGTCTGGCTCGCCATAAATAAGGCTCCTTTAGGGAGCCTCCTTTCGCGACAAAGTCGATCTGATATCATCCTGAACAAATCCATCGATACAAATCCTGTGAGTGCCGTCTCGCACCTTTCCATCAATGGCATCCGTCGATGTAAGAGGGGGGCGGCATTCAGAGCCACCTGCATGCTCAAACAGAAACAATCGAAAGAAACCCTGACGCACAAGAAGAATCAGAACTAAAAAGGTATGTCAATTATGTCACCAAAATTCATCAAATATCAATAAAGCATATCCTATTAAAGATTATGAAAGCATCACAAGGCTTTCTGGAAATCTGACTAGAAGGGAAATACAACAAAATGATGTCTGTGCATAGTGGTCAAGCCCAAGAACCACCAGATGGTGAAGTAAAGCCCCTCTGCTGGCCCATGGCACCATTGCGTCTTTCATTGGGCAATCCTGAGGGGTCAAACTGGCAGCAAAATGAAGCAACGATCGTTTAAATATATATTTTAAATGACTTTTCAAACCTGATCAAAGTTCATTTATAAAATTGTTGATTTTGAACATTTTTCGATGCTTTTCATAGAAGGGTCCAGGAGCATCTACGATATGAGATTCCAAAGCTGACCTGCTACAAAATGACTCTTAAAAATCCAAAAGCACACCAACAGAGAGTTGGACCGGCTCGGATGAGGGTTTCCTGAATTTTGCCTGAAGACCTCATGTCGATCTTATGGCACTCTGTATCATGTCATGTGTCCTGATGTCCTGAGATGTCCATATAGACAGATGTATATTTCCAAAAAACAAACATACTAACAAGATCTAACAAGTAATAACAATTATGTATATACTGTATATCCAAAAGCTGGCCCATCCATGCCCATCCCATTGTTACAAAATAATCTTCATCCATAACAATGCTACAAAATGACATATTACAACGCACGTAAGTGATCGTAAGTGAAGTTCTCCATTCCTTGTGAGCTGGCGGCCAAGGCACAGGATTGTCAATGAGGAACCAAGGGTTTCCCAGCAAAGCCTGATGCTTGTCGCTCATGCTATTCTCTCGGGAGAATGCGCTTGGTGGCAAACCATTGCTGCGACTCTGTGCCATGTCAGCCCAATAGTCACCATAGTAGCAAGTTCTGAGGAAGCTGGAGATCTGTCCACCCGAGTTTTTCACTGCATGACCTCAAAGTTGCATCTCATGTACGGCATTCGTCGCCGCAAATATAATGAGGTTCAATCCATTCCCCTCAAGTTTACTGAATATTCCTGTAAGACCCAATAAGAATGACATTCTGTAAGATTATGGTGGGGATATCCAAGGATCACTATTACATAGGCCCTAGAAATCATCCACAAATATTCATTGACTCAAGCAGCCTATAAAGTCTACAAAATGAGTTTCCTAAGACATGGACACTACAAAATGGACCTAAATGAATTTAAAAGTACTAAGATGCACCAAGTGACAAACACCTGGAAGACCATACACCACTTCCTCGCCATCATGGGCAATCCTCATTGGAAATCTTGGAAGGCAATTTTCTGGTACTTCTGTGTGAACAAGCTTTCCAAACCACGGGACATCGGCAATGTTGGCCTCCTCCTCTGACGACAACTGCCCGTGAAGACTGCGTCGTATGATTTTGTGTGTCCCGGCACTGTCGCACACCAAAGCTTTCACAAGCCCACTGCTTTCAGCCATAAAACGGCCAACAATGTCTGCCATGTAGAAGCTACCTCTCTGCTCTGCATGCGTTCCTCCAAACCCAACTTCAATTGGGACTGCCAAAAGGGAAATCGGAGTCTTCTTTGGAGCAGATGGCTCCCAGGCTAGGAATTCCAGCATACTGGATGACTTCTGAACAGCAGAAACATCAATGTCTTCGACCTGCTCCAAGCTCAGAAAGGCATTTTTGGGATTGACTGGGTTGTATGACCCGCCCACGAGACCCTTCTGGGATGCAATCTCTGCCTGGCTCAAAGTCTCTGTGACGTATGTAGCGTCAAAGGCTACCACCAAGCGACCTCGGCCACAGCAGGCAAAAACATCTGAGCAGGCCCACAGTGTACCTCTAATTTGTTTGTCCATGTTTGTCCTATGTTTTCCTATTTTTATATACATATTCATGTGTGTTTATAGATATCCATATATACGGTCAATGGTATACTGGCCCTCCATTTTTGCAGGCATAGAGTTGTGTTCCCATCCTGAGCATGTACAAAATGATGGTTCTCAGCAACTATATGTATCTATATGTAACTATGTATGTACTCGTAGGTGTGTATGTATGTATATATTATTTAGATAGATAGATAGATAGATATAGATCGCAGCAAAATGCAACAAAAAGCAACCCCATAGAAAAGTGCTACAAAATGGCCATGCTACGCTTGGGCATCTCAGGTGTGCGGGGAAAGCGCTGATCAGCCAAGTCGAAATTGGATTTCATCACACCGTCAAAGACCAAAGCAAGTGCCGGAGAAGGCAATCCATAGCGCTCGAGCTCGTCCAAGCGTATTCGGAGAGCAGCTCGTGATAATCCGAACTCTCTGGCAAGGCCAGGATTGCAAGCCCCCAATGCCAGCTGTAGTCCGCTGTCGGAGATCATTGCAAGTTCCCTCGGAGTTTCATTGCTGCGTCTTCCTCTCATCGTTGTGATCCCACGTGACTCCTTCTCAAGTTTCCTCCGACATTGGAGGGCAAGACCCATTATCATTGGGTGGTCGGAGAGCTGGCCAGAAATTGCTGCGCTTGCCACCTCGATATTTTCCAAAACCACAACAAGAATTGAAAAGAAACATCTGGTTGGATCTGGTTGGTGTTTTTGGTGTTGCTATGTGTTCCATTGTGATGCTACAAAATGGAGAAAACATATTGTGATGCTACAAAATGGAGACAACATATTGTGGTGCTACAAAATAATGAAAACATATGAAAATCACCCATGAACATCATCAGACCCGCCTTCAATCTGGCGACGTCATCGTCACTCACGCCAGAAGCCATCAAGAACTCGAACTGCTGCGCGATCCGCCGGAACTGCTCTGGGATTGCTGCGACATTGACTCGAAGGCATGGCTTCACCACCATGTGCTGCCACTTTTGCATTTCCGTGGAGATGGAATGCTCGCTGAGGAAGGATGTGCGGACAAACTGCTGAAGTTGACCCGTTCCCAGGGCCAGCAACTGATCCATGTTGGCTTTGTCTCTTTGGTAGAGGTTCGAAGCTTTGATCGCTTTCATCACGGTCTCCACCACCTCATCACCTTCAAAAACCTTGGCGTTGAGGAGCTCTGCTGCATGGAATTTTTTGGCAAAACGTAGGGGCATTCTGACTATAGACTTGGATTTCGTCAGCTTGAAACATTCGTCACACACTTGTCGGGATTTGTTCTGGTTCTCCTCGACAGTTTTTTTGCAACTGTGTGATCTCACATGCCATGAAGCTGTATTTGCATCCTTCCAGTATTCATGTTTGGCCGAGGCTTCCAGGTTGGCGAAGGAGGCCCACAAGCCAAATTCCGCTTTGTGGACATGAAGGATACTGCCCTCCATGGGATGAGCAAGGTCAATTGCTTCACATGGAACAGAATTGCGAGGATGTTCCTGAATACATCCTCCCCCTGACCTCAATGATCTTTCATGACCTTCGGAGTCAACATGCTGCTGCATAAAATGCCGAACTGATCCAGGGGTCATCTGCTTGCATTCACCCACTTTACCTTCTGGTTGCTTAACGCTGGTGCAAATCAAACAGCGATAAGGTACCTTCTTGTTGTGACTTCCCAGAGGTAGAAGAACAAGATGTGGCTCAAACACTTTGGCTGCAGCTCTTGCATCTTCTTCGCGTTTCCAAACATCCTGGACTTCTGACCTTGGGCCCCTCCTTCTTTTCTTGGCTGCAGGAGGCCCATCTGACTGCTCAGGATTGCCAACATTGCCTTCAGCCGGAGCAGCCTTGTCTCCTGCAAGCGCTGATTCTACCTCATTCTTCAACTCTTCTGCATCAAAGCCACATTCCTCCATCGCTTCCTTGCAAACTTCACACTCAATTTGTTTTCCAGTTGCAAGAAGCTTTTGGAACTCCACATACCCTTTCCCAGGACACCAGTTGATTTTCTTCATCGGGGCTTTCCTGCAAGCTGTCACTCTACAAGAAGAGGTTCCCAACAATGTCTTCTACAAAAAGCTCAAGCGAACCACATTCAGTACTTTGTTGAGGGATGCAAAAACATTTCAAACAAAATTTTGTATATTTAACTGATTTTAAATGCAATCGAGTTGTTAAGATATGCCAAAGGGATCCAAAGGGATCCAAAGGGTGCCAAAAAATTCAACACCCCGGCCTCCGGTGAATCCTCTGGAAAAAAGGCCAGTCAAGCAGAATTTTGGTGAGGTACCTCTTCACAGCTTGGTGGCGCTGCTGTGACTCACTGGGCGGAGCCTTCTTCTGCACACGTTTGTGCTTTCTGCGGACAATTGTGCCATCAGCCTCCTCCTAAGGCAACGAGACTTAGAGGCACCCAGGGCATCCCTGCGTATTGCCTACAACATGAGGTTAACTTAATTCATTGCTACAAAATGCAACCGGAAACAACAATCTTTGGATCATCTTTAGGAGATTGAGTCAGGAGTCAGGAGTCATGAGTCATATCACATCCCACCCTTGTCCTCTGACTCAGAATCTATGTCGAGGTCATCCTTTGACGCCTTCTCATCCCTCGCAACAATCTGCATTGCCTCGTCTCCTTCAACTTTTGGTTGCAATAGTGGCCCCTTGGCTGGACGTAGCATCTTTTCAGGAGCCTTGACCTGACCAAACGAAGCTGGTCGACTTTCTCGGACTCGTCGGGGACAGATCTGCGATTTGACTGGAGACAACAAGTTGCTGCTGGAAGCTGCTTGCTTGGGGCTACCAGGCTTCTTCTTCAAAGGTGTGACCGGGATGCCATCCTGAATCCAGGGACGCAAGAAATCCTGAATTTCTCTGGGCTCCTAGCCTTGTCAGGCATTCCCTTATGTTATTCCACGATGGCAGTGTTGCTACAAAATGAAGTTCATGACAGTCTCTCAGTCTCTCTTACAAAGAGTTAACCAAGATCCTTGGCAAATTTTCTCAGCCCCTATCAACTCATCAGCCCTTGTCATCCCTCATCATCCCTTACTACGCCCTTTTCAAATTCCAGAAAGGTCCTCATCATTGGCCTCTTTCTCTGCCGAATCCATTTGCTCGGCAGCAGCAACTGCAGCTTGATGCTCGGCAGCAGCAACTGCAGCTTGATGACATTGAGGAGACAACTCTTCCTGCAAGCCCATGGACATGAACAATGTTTGCCACGCTTTGCTGTTTCTGCGTCTCATCCACAGGGACGACAGCTCCTGACACAGGGCATGCAGGATCCCTCAGCGTGTCTGTGAACCAAGGATTGCCAAGGATAGCAAGGTCCATGCCATACGTCCCCGCACCAAAAATTATCAAACAATATTAAATACAGATACTTACAGACTGATTGGATCATAAAAACAACCTACAAAATGACCAAGCAAGACTCCTGTCTCAAGTCAATCATGTGAGAAGATTTCTTCAGAGTTCGCCCAATGACTGGCCCTCCAAACAAAGTGAGTACACTCCAGATAGCGCAGTCACCGTCAGCTGGAACTTCAAGAGCATGAAAGTTCATGTTGTGCATGGTTTGGAAGAAGTCAGCCTTGGAGTTGAGCAAGGCCAATCGATCATTCAAAGATGCAGTCAAGTCATCATCAGACTCATCATCCAGGCGCTTGCGAGTTTTGCGCAGGCTGGCGTCGAGCTTGGAGATGGCTTCCTGCGTACTCGTTTGGAACAAGCCTTGTTGACACCGTTCCAGCTGCTCCTTCGAAAACATTGGGATGAAGTGGTTGAGTTGGCGGAAAGATCCTCTTTTCCAGTCTGCTCGAACAGCTGCAAAAACCCATACATGCTCCGATGCTAGGTTTGGTTTGTGTGGCCCTTCCCAAACTACAAAATCAGGAACAAATTGCTCCATGATGTCCACCCCACTGCGAACCACTGGCTCCCCAGAGGTCTCGTCGTCCCAGTAAATTACTGCAAGCTCTTTGCCATACCCAATCGAAAGCAAGCACAAATCAAGGATGCCCAGATAGAAGCCTTGCTTCTCGCAACATTTTGCATATTGTGCCTTGACTGTTTGCACATGTTTGCACATGTTTGCACCAGAAGAATCCAGAAGCCATGTATTTTAAAGTTATGTTGCGTATTACGCATTCTCATGCCATCTTGCCCGAAACATTTCTGGCATCATGCTGTCAAATCTTATCATTCTGTTGGCATTAGCCGAAGCATGTCAGACTTTCAACCTGCCTTATCATTACAAAATGACTGTTCACAAGACTGCATCCTACAAATTGTAGATGCTCATGTCTGAACTCAACAAAGGCGCAATAAGCTGACTCGTCATTGGGTCCAAGTCTTCCTTGTCAGAATCACCTTCATCGCTTGACCCACCATTGCCAAAGAGCTCCTTCTCACCTGGCTTCGTCATCACATCCACGGTGGTCTCGAGCATTGATTGCGCTGGACCGACAGCAGTCCCCAACGATGAAATCATGTCCTCTTCCTCATCATCGCATTGTGGTTGCGCCTACGGCCGGCAACATCATCACTTGTTGGCGGAATGTGCCGTTGGCTTGTGGTTACATGTGGGTTATACTCATACATCTCAACATCTCACTTGTCAGAGCCACAGAAAGGAGATAAAAGGAGATGGAACAAGGATGGGTGAGAAACAAAGGAACATTTCAAGAATCTTGGGCATTTCCACAATGGTCTCCATTCTGATCAAAGTTCATTTATAAAATTGTTGATTTTGAACATTTTTCGATGCTTTTCATAGAAGGGTCCAGGAGCATCTACGATATGAGATTCCAAAGCTGACCTGCTACAAAATGACTCTTAAAAAATCAAAAACACACCAACGGAGAGTTGGACCGGCTCGGATGAGGGTTTCCGGAATTTTGCCTGAAGACCTCATGTCGATCTTATGGCACTCTGTATATCTCTGTATCAGGTCATGTGTCCGTATGTCCTGAGATGTCAATATAGACAGATGTATACTTCAAAAAAAAGAACATATTAACAGTTAATAACAGTTATATAAATTCTCTTCTGTTTCTTCTATTCAAAACCAACTACTTTCGATTCCACACAGGGCATCACTGGGCCTCTTCTGCTGGACCTTCTGCTTCCACAGGCGCAGGCGCAGAAGCAAGCTCTGGTGGGGCCTGGCATCACTGTATCAAAATGGGAAAGAGACGGAAGGGGATTGGATGAAGATGGATAGGGAACATTTCAAGAATCTTGGGCATTTCCACAATGGTCTCCATTCTGATCAAAGTTCATTTATAAAATTGTTGATTTTCAACATTTTTCGATGCTTTTCATAGAAGGGTCCAGGAGCATCTACGATATGAGATTCCAAAGCTGACCTGCTACAAAATGACTCTTAAAAAATCAAAAACACACCAACGGAGAGTTGGACCGGCTCGGATGAGGGTTTCCTGAATTTTGCCTGAAGACCTCATGTCGATCTTATGGCACTCTGTATATCTCTGTATCAGGTCATGTGTCCGGATGTCCTGAGATGTCAACTTGAGAGGGGGGGGACGAAAGGTAGGGGGGGGCAAAAGAGAGCAACAGGAAAAATATTGCCAAACTGAGATTGATACTTCTCTTCACTCAAACCTCCTGCAGAAGAAAATGTTAGCCCCCCAAAAAGCTTTGTGGGAATAGAATCAGAAACATAATGTCAAATGTAAAGTAACTTCACGCGCGCGCGCGCGCCGCGCGCGCGCGTGAACCATCCTGCATGCAGGTGCTTCTCCGCGCGCGCCGCGCGCGCGCGCGAGCGCACGCATGTGCGGGACGTAAACATTGCGAGTCTCTATTCCCCGGCACGGCCTCAATGGGACTAGAACATCCACGATAGATCGATAGATCAATACATCGATAGATAGATAGATAGATAAAACTATAAATAAATAAATAGATGAATAAATAGATAGAGAGATAGAAGCATCGATCGATAAATAGATAGATCGATGGCTACCTTGATCGATAAACAGATAGATAAATAGATAGATCAATAGGTAGATAGATAGATAGATAGATAGATAGATAGATCCAAGGATAGATAGATAAATACATGCATAGATGGACAACTAGATAGATAGATCGATAGATAGATGGATAAGGAGGTAGGTACAGAGTCAGAGAAAAAGAGAGAGAAAAAAATGCGGACCAGGGGGGAATCGAATGGGGGGGGGAGGGGGGGGGCCCCCCCCCCCTAAGTCTCCGTTCGTGACTCTCGGCTTTCAATTTCCGGGAAAGGAGCAGCCACCTCCCCCAGTACTAAACTAGTACTAAAGTACATAGAACTCAGGTAGCCTAGGCTACCTTTCGTGATATAGACAGATGTATACTTCCAAAAAAAGAACATACTAACAGTTAATAACAGTTATATAAATTCTCTTCTGTTTCTTCTATTCAAAACCAACTACTTTCGATTCCACACAGGGCATCACTGGGCCTCTTCTGCTGGACCTTCTGCTTCCACAGGCGCAGGCGCAGAAGGAAGCTCTGGTGGGGCCTGGCATCACTGTATCAAAATGGGAAAGAGACGGAAGGGGATTGGATGAAGATGGATAGGGAACATTTCAAGAATCTTGGGCTTTTCCACACAGGTCTCCATTCTGATCAAAGTTCATTTATAAAATTGTTGATTTTCAACATTTTTCGATGCTTTTCATAGAAGGGTCCAGGAGCATCTACGATATGAGATTCCAAAGCTGACCTGCTACAAAATGACTCTTAAAAAATCAAAAACACACCAACGGAGAGTTGGACCGGCTCGGATGAGGGTTTCCGGAATTTTGCCTGAAGACCATGTCGATCTTATGGCACTCTGTATATCTCTGTATCAGGTCATGTGTCCGTATGTCCTGAGATGTCAATATAGACAGATGTATAC